CATGTGTCTGTTACAAGTTATCAGGGTAAGAAACCAGCTTCATTGCCAAGTTTTTGCTGTTCACAGTTAGTCTCCCAGGCTGCAGACTAATAGAGCTGAGAAGAGGGCAAGCTGCATAGAGGCATACACCTGATTCAGCTGATGCTTAACTTATTGAACAAGGTTTCATACACTTGGCATTAAACATGCCTTTAAGTGCCCCACTCAGATGTGAGAGATTGAAACAAGCACTGTCTGAACCAGGGCCCATGATATTCTCCATCCCCTCACCACACCACTTCCCTAATAAAAGCTATTTCACACTTCTTGAGCATCTTTCTTCTGAAGATCCTAGACTGTGTTGCAATTATTAAAGAACAGATCATACCATGTCTACCCATTTTTTCCGTAATTTCTTGCTAGCACAGCAAGATACACAAAACCAAGTAGCTTGCTGTGCCTAGTACGTGAAAGAAATATCAAGGTTGCAGTGCTTTCCCTACATGTATTCACTATGACACAAGCCTTTACCTGTAAAAGCATGTCCTACTTTACAAATAATACAGGGTACAACATGCCTTTTCCTTGCTGACTTTGTTGCAGACCCGTTACAGCTTGCAACCAGTTCTCATTCCTGTATTCATGATGTTCACTGTTGCTACAATACGGTGTATTTCAGACACTACCATCAGACCTCAGAATCATGCACAGCTTCCTCTCACTTCTCTGGAAACTACAACTATTACCCCTGCTGTAATTAAAAAAAAAAAAAAAAAATTATTAATAAAATAGTCATGAGAGCACTGTTTTCTCTAGGTGTGTTTTGGTAATACCTTGGAATTCATGTTCTGTTCCTTTTTTTTCCTTCTCAACTTCCTCATGATTAATTACTGGTCCAAGCTTACAAGCAGTATCAGTCTTTGAGTGCAACCACCCAGAATTTTGCCAGATCATGCATTTTCAACAGATCCTGATTGCAGCTGAGTTACTGGGCTTTGTTACTGCATAAGCCACTTCTCAAGTAAATAGCTGGAAAGAACAGCACCAATGTGAAGGGATATCTTGCCTGCTTGGACAGTGTTTAGAAGGGTAAATAAAGTAACAGATAGGCTTCCTTTAAAGCAGTGCTCAACTCTTTCTGTAAAGAGCCAAGAGTGACCTATATAATTCTCATTTCTGTGCCAAGGGTAAGAAAGTTATCAGTATTACTTCTCTGGCCACTGTATCACACATTCTTTTAGAAGCAGAATATTTCACTATGGTATCTTGACATAACCTGATGTCCAGATACGTATCCTGCACAGCTGTATGCGCAGCACTAGCCATGGGCTACATCCTTGAGAAAGAAGAAGCTGTTTGCAAAGTATATAATCACAAAAGTAAAAAATCAAATAACAGCCACTTTCATTGCTCAGCATGCCCAAGCCTCCCTGGTCAGTAGTCCTAAGCCCCAAAGGGCCTCGACTCCCCACTTACTCCTAAGCCATGCTTGCAGCTTCTTACCTGAGTTACTTCTGCTGCATTTGGAACCAGTCCCTCAGACTGCACAGCCTAATTCTGCTCAGCCTTTGCTTTGCTTGATTATTGGCTTCCTACAAGCAGCTAAAAACATGTTTAAATATTCCTATCATTTAGCCCAAAGGAAAGCTGTTGAACACATTTAACATCTTTACTCAGACCTAAAACTTTCTACTGATATAAGAACCATCTGATGGCAGCCACCAACACCTTCCTGTATGAAACAATATTTCTAAAAGAACAATGACATGCAAAGTAAATAGAGAATTCTTCCATCAAAAAAACCCACAACATGCTGCCCCAAATGCAAAAGATCTTTTTAAAAACAGTAAGTTACAAATAATGAATGATATTTTTCACTCTCATATCTGTGATGTGTGCAAAACATAGCAGTTAGGATGAGGTGTTGTCATGGGTTCAGCAGTAGCAGTCATTTTTCTCCTTCTTGGTAGCTGGTGTAGTGCAGTGTTTTGACTTTCAGCTCGGGAACAGAGCTGATAACAAGCGATGTTTTGGTTTGGCCAAGGACTCTGTGAGGCTCATGCTCTGCCAGGGAGGAGGGGGAGCCAGGGGGAAGCAGAGACAGGACACCTGACCCAAACTGACCAAAGAGGTATTCCATACCACAGCACGTCATGCCCAGGATGTAACTGGGAGTTAGCCGGAAGGGCTGGGAGACTGCAGGGTTGGAGGAGGTATCGGTCAGAGCTTGGTCGGGCTGGGGGGGCGAGTTATCGGTCGGCTGGTGGTGAGATGATGTATTCTCTTCCCTTGTTATTTCCTTTATCATTATTATCATTGGTGGTAGCAGTAGTGATTTGTGTTATACCTTAGTTACTAAACTGTTCTTATCTCAACCCGTGGGAGTTGCATTCTTTTCGATTCTCCTCTCCGTCCCTCCGAGAGCAGGGGGAGGGAAAGAAAAGGGGGGGGAAGTGAGCGAACGAATTGCCTGACTGGGTTTAAACCACGACAGTTCTTTTTGGCGCCCAACGTGGGGCACGAAGGGTTGAGATAACGACAGATCTGACCGGATTAATAGTCACTCATCACAATGCTGATTTATTGGCTCTCAGAGTTGTTTCGCTTGATCTCACAGCTTCAGAATGTTGTAACTTACGTAGAGCCGGTATTTGCTGTGATAGTGTTTATCAAGTGTGGGGCCTGGGCTAAGGTTCTTATCTCACTGTGCTTTATGGCAATGGCTTGTAATACGGGGGAGCTCCAGCAGCAGGGCGGGACGGACGTGGCCGTGGACTTGTACCTGGCCGTCCGGCTGCTCTTCACCGTCCTGGCCCTCACCCTACTCTCCATCTTCGTGAGGCTGCGGGGAGCCGAGGGGGAGCGGCCCCGGGAGCCGGCGGCAGCCGAAGCGGCCCGGGAGAGCGGCCCCGGGGACCAAGCGGCGGCGGGAGCAGAGCCGGAGGCCGCGAGGGGACGGCTGCCGGTGGAGGAGGTCGGGGCGGTCGAGGAGAGGAAGGAGGCGGCTGCCGAGCAGCGGGAGAAGGCGGCGGAGGAGCCGAGCCCCGCGGAGGAGCCGAGCCCCGCGGCCGAGCCCAGCCCCGCGACGGCCGAGAGCGTTTCCCGGAAGCCGCCCGCCGAGCCCCAGGAGGACGCAGGAGACCACGCAGCATTTCCCAGCAAGGTAGAGGAGGAAGAGCTGGACTCAGGAAAAGAGAAGCTGGCGGTGGGAGAGCCGGCAAGCACAGCAGCTACACCAGCCCCAGTGACAAGTACAGCAGCATCAACTGAGAGTTCTGAAGGTTTTGAATGGCCTTTGGGTATCCTTGGGACCTGCCTGCTGATTGTGATGGGGATCAGCATGTTGGCACACACACAGACTGTGTTCTACCCACAACCATTTTGTCTGATCTCAAAAGTTAAGCAGAGTCAGGTTTGGGTCTTGTCTGGGGTTAGACGAGGATATGGGAGGACCAAGAGGATTTTCCCAAAGCTGGAGAGTCATGAGTGGCAGGGTGTGTGTGACAGTATGGGCAAGTATCTAGTCCACTGGGCCCCTCCAGTGCTTTGGAAGCATTGGAGATGGAAGGCAGCTGTATGGAGTCCCCAGCAACAAGCTGCAGAAACTGCTGAAGGGGACAGTGAATTATTTTGAGCCTGGTGGGCCCAATGCACTTCAGGCCATCAGAGCAGAGATGCAACACAGAGATGGACTCATGATCGAGGGGTGGACTTAGCAATGGACACTATTGCCCAGGTTATTCACGAGTGTGAACACTGCACACAGTCTCTCCTGCTCTGGAAGACTGTTACAAGAGATGGAGCCTGATATCATGGACCAGATGGACTCAGCAGCTTTATAGGGACTGGTCCATGCACTAAGTTAAGAGTGCACCAAGAGTGATGGTATATTGAAAATGTGGGATCTGAGCATGACGTGAATGGTATGGAATAAGGGGTGGATAATGTCATGGGTTCAGCAGTAGCAGTCATTTTTCTCCTTCTTGGTAGCTGGTGTAGTGCAGTGTTTTGACTTTCAGCTCGGGAACAGAGCTGATAACAAGCGATGTTTTGGTTTGGCCAAGGACTCTGTGAGGCTCATGCTCTGCCAGGGAGGAGGGGGAGCCAGGGGGAAGCAGAGACAGGACACCTGACCCAAACTGACCAAAGAGGTATTCCATACCACAGCACGTCATGCCCAGGATGTAACTGGGAGTTAGCCGGAAGGGCTGGGAGACTGCAGGGTTGGAGGAGGTATCGGTCAGAGCTTGGTCGGGCTGGGGGGGCGAGTTATCGGTCGGCTGGTGGTGAGATGATGTATTCTCTTCCCTTGTTATTTCCTTTATCATTATTATCATTGGTGGTAGCAGTAGTGATTTGTGTTATACCTTAGTTACTAAACTGTTCTTATCTCAACCCGTGGGAGTTGCATTCTTTTCGATTCTCCTCTCCGTCCCTCCGAGAGCAGGGGGAGGGAAAGAAAAGGGGGGGGAAGTGAGCGAACGAATTGCCTGACTGGGTTTAAACCACGACAGGTGTCCATTTTATCATCTTCTAAATGGCAGAATCAAGGCACATGGAAACTACCCAATGAACCCCCTATCTACTGGGTATCCACCCACCTCTCCACCTTCCAGATAATACAAAACCTTTTTCTTCCTTCACAGCTGTGCTGAATACCCTAGAATTGGATAGCTCACACACAAAAACATCCACCCCAGAAAAACTTTCCTTGTCTTTTTACCAGTCTGTGTCTTTTTACCAGTCTGTGCCTTTTTTCGGCCATTTCACCGGGCGCACAATACATCAGTTTCTCTGACGTAACACCCCTTAGTGAGTGGCGCATGTAGGAAACATTACCTATGGGGGTTGGCTACACTATCTAATTAGAGATCTTCCGACAGCTCTTCTTCACTAAATTTCACAATTACGCAACTCCAAGCATCAGCAATCCTCATTCAGCAGCTCCATGGGCGCTTTCCTGGTAGACACTGTTTATCATGTTTCTTTTACTTTCATTCTTATTTCCCCATCTGCAGTACCCTTTTTTCCACAAGAGGTGTTCCTTGTTGCTTTGAAGATTCATACTGAAAGAAGTGCAGACAAGAATAAATTATATTTGGGGTATTCATTACACCTATAACCTCAAAGGTAGGAGGAAAAGAGAGAGAAGTTTAAAATAACTTTAATTCCTCTTATCCACAAAAACATACTGTCAAATTACATAATTCTGTTCCTGAGATACATTATTTATCTACAAGGGTTCTTCTGCCTGTCTCCTTTTGTATTATAAAATGCTGTTATTTAAGGTTCAAGCTATTTCAAGGATTGTTCAATGCTGGTTTATTTTATGGCTAACAAATGCACAATTTAACCAAGAAGTAGTAAGTGTAGGAATCAACACTTAACTTGACCTTATCCCTCTTCAGCAGGTGCTCTACTTTCACAGACACAGATATGGCTACAACAACTCTTAAGGGAAAAAAAAGGGAAAAGAAAAAAAAAAAAAAAAAAAGGAAATTCTTTTCATGGGTCATTTGCCCTAACTTTCCAAACTTGGTTCCAATTTATTTATGAAAATAAGTACAAACCAGCATTTGAATTCCAATTAGTGACACAAAGAACCATGATACACTGAAGTTTCATATGGTACTCTGCACGTTCTGCATGCTGTTTTAGTAATTCTTAAATCAAAAGAGCAGTCTGTCTATCGGTATTTCATGACGCCATTTTGACAGTAAAAAAATTAATGGATACCACCAGCACCTAGCAATATTTGAAATGCAGGCAGCAACTTTGTTTACCACTGCTCCTTTTTTCAAGAGCATGTGTTTAAACCTCAAACACTTAATGGGACCACTGTATTCTCCCATCTGCTTGGCATATCAAAATGATACCAAATAAATTGTGACATGCTTTGGGACAATTTTATCATTAAATGTTTTACACAGCTTGATAAAAAAAAAATAATCCAAAATCTGAGTAACATAAAAGTTTTTTCCTAAGCTAAGAGAGCCTTACATGACTTAAACTCCATAAAACAAATAAACGAACCGACTGAAAACCCCTATCTTGAGTTTTCTAAATAAATGAATCCTAATCAAATAAGGAAAGTAAAAGTTGGGTGGTTCTGGCTTCAGCAGAATCAAAGCACATTCCATTACTTAGCTAATACAAGCAATTTTGTAAACAAACTATACCTTTGTTCTGTAAATTTTGAAAGTTAGGCTTTGGACAGATGTTCCCTGCTGGATGCAGACATGCCAGGGGAAGGTTAGAGTCCCAGCTGTTGATCGTCACTTCTTCACAGAGGTTACTGCTCCCTCACATTTGTTGGCAGAGCTTGCTTACAGAAATACTCCCAAAGCCTCTTGAAGTTAAAGTGAGTGGCATTACTATTTAGACAGTTTAAGCTAACTAGCACATCTGCTGAAAGAGGTCATGCCTGTTTGTACTTTTAAACTTCCACTGTTCACAAGACTGTAAGTTTTCACAACTTCTTGTCAGGGCAGAAGCTTTTCTCACCTTTTTGTGTAACACTAAATCCCAAATGCCACACTTGAATATTTAGCCTTAAATGTCTCCTAATTAAACACTGACAACTGTGTTAAGTGTGCTAGTGAACTACAGTCTGTTTCAGCTCTAACTTCCTGATTAGCTTTCAAACCCTTTTACATCAAGCTTGTGGTCTTAGAAACAACAATCAAAATCTGTTATTTCACTGTGCAAGGGCATCCTGAAGACCTGTGTCACACATGTAAGGATACAACACACACAAAATGCAGCTCTAGTGTAGTGATGTTGGGAGGCATCAAGCTTCAGGCAGAATACAGTACTTCAGACATGCTGCAATACTCTATACAAGCTCCTGGCCTCTTTTTGCTCTTTTCCCATTTAAAAAATAGTGAAATTTCTGCTGAGTTCTTTGAAATCTGAGTGAAAAGTGCTACGTTCTTGTGCATGATAATTGTTATCAAGAATATAGATCCACTATTCCTTAGCAACCTAAAAAAACCCAAAACAAAACAAAACCCATGTCATACAAATGTTTTATCAACAGATAATTAATATTAGTATATGAATGGTTATGACTTTAGAGTAATGCAAGGTTTATTTTCTCACTCTTTTGTAAGTAACATGTATCTATGACTAAATTTCAATATATCTCCAATTAAGGGATGCATTGAATTTACAACTGGTTTTTGAGGGATTTTTTTCTGTTTTTTTTTTCTCCTGCAGGATATTGATTAAGCTACCTAAAATGTCATTCACAGCAGGCTATTTATGTGATGAAGTTTCTATCCATGTGAAATTGCTATGTCTAACACCTTTTTCCTCTCTACGGAAAAATATTATTTTGCAGACAAAACAGGAAGTTATCCAAGGGTCTAAGAAAAGAATTTGCTGTTTCTTTCCTTCAGAGTAGAATTGCTTTATTTTCATGCCTTTGTCTACCTCTTCTAGTGCTTCAGTTACACATAATGCCAAGTAGCAAATTATATGCCAAAAATCATATTAAAAGAACATTACAGATACAAAGTCACTCAAAACTTACAACCTTCCAAGATTTCCCAGACAATTGCATTTCAGGCCCCTTGGCGTACACAGTGCATGCAGGACTATGGATGCCATGACTGTTTTTTCCTGAAGCCATTTCCTCATTCAGTGGACAGACCAAATGCTAATTATTACACACATGAACGTTCAACTTTTTTTTAATTTTTATTCTGACTGCTCACCAGATCTTATTTACTGACCTGTACTCAAGTCTTGCTACGAAGACAGGATTATGAATGTCTGATGACTTTTCTGTCATGCCATCCTTGCACTACTTGCGTGCTTCGCAAGCAAGAAATCACTGATGGGACTCTGTGAATGGGATGAGCTTCCCCTCGTTTCCACAGGTAAAAAGATGATGTAATGGTAACCTAGAAAATAGTAGTTATTAAATAGCTTCAATTAAATCTCCACAATTAATCTACTTTCAACCACATCCTTTCTACATTTTAACAGTACTTGAGTCCTTCTTGCATGTACACTAGGACATTTGTAAAGCCTGGACTCTGACAACATTGTGACACATGGCTTCTACTTTCCACTTATTGAATTCTTTCTCCAAATCGTTGGAGCATCTCAACAAAATGGACAGAAGCATCTATTTTTAAGACATGAGAAAAAGCAGCACATTTCTCTTAAACTTGTTCTCAGGAGGGAAAAAAAAAAAAGATGCAATTTTTTCTGAAGGTTTAGATATTCAGTCAGATGCAGTCTCCCAGTCTGTACATTTTTAGTCCAAATAACATACATTTGACAAATTTATAAGCAATGGAAAACAGGGTCTTGTGATGAAAAGTGTCAGGCAAGCTTAACTATAGGTGGCATTCACAGCCTTGCCTATAATTAATATCTCCTGTGAGGAGTCTGCTGGTAATCCAGATGAGGCAGGCAGCGCAATGACTCTCTGCATACCTACACAAAAGAGCAGGGTTGCATTAAGAGGTCTCATTCATTCCTCTGATGATCTGAAACAAACAGGCATCAAATGATTTATACCATGCAATCAGTGTTCACAACCTCAGCAGAGTACCTGAATACAGCACAGAAGCAAAAATGAGCAACTAAACCCCCTTCTTGACATTCTTACATATGAACCAGTAAGTCAGTGAATTACAACCTCATAAGGAAGCCAGAAAAGAAAACTTCACTTGCAAACTAACCACTTCTAGCTAGCTCAGAAGAAATATGTGACTTTAACATAGCCAGTTTTTACCCTGGTAAGTCATGGCTAGGTCTTTCCCAATATGGCCAACAGTAATTGCCAGACAAGTCTTCTCATGGTTGACACTATTCCATAATGGAAAAGGCCTTGTCTCTAATAAACTAGGCTCTATGTCATTGTAAATAGCACCTTAAAATGTGACTGACAACTGTATTCCCCTTTGTTTTACTCTGCTAATGTTTCTACAGCCAGCATTTCTCCAACGTGGTTTTTATGTGTGTCTGTGGACTACATGAGTAAATCATTGCTCTATCACAGCTCATTTAGTCAACATACTACAACATATTGTAGTCTCATAAAGGGCTAAGAAATCCTCGATGATCTGAAACTTCATAGTATACTACTCCACTTAGCAGAATCACTAAATAATAGTAAAATAAAATCTGTCATTAACTGAATAATTGTTTTATTTCCCCCCATGGAAGTGGAAGGAAACACATAAATAGTTCATGTATTTTTATGGAAATGAAGACCAACACATACAGCTAGCTAGGGGGTGGTTTTCCCTTTTTTAAAATCAGAAAATATTTTTAAGCACTTATTTATGTTTTCAAGATTGTCTTGACATCTGTTCTTAAAAAGCACAATGAAAGGCATACTTTTAACTACAAACACTGCTAAAATATGGTAACGCTCTGTTTTTCCCTGCTGCAGAACTGCCAAGTAATAAGGATTTGCATGACTAAGCTTCTATTATGCTGACATATGCAAAACTGAGGAACAATCATTCTTTCTTGTTTGACAACACTTAGGAAACACTCCTTTTTCTCTCCTTTAGGACATGTTGGGCCTTGGGCATGATGAACAGTATCATTCAATCAAATCAATTTTTAAATGGATGTTTAAATACTGAGTTCTCTTAAGCAGAGACACTTGCATAATGACCTTAACATGTGGGCTAGAGGTCACTAGGGATTTGACTAACACTTGCAAACATACCATATTTCACCTGACATGTCTCTGCAAAGGAACCACCACACCATTTGGAATACACGTCTTGGAACGTACGCAAAGGTTTAAATAAGCTTCTTGCTTTGCAACAACTCCCGAAACTGTGATCAATGTATTGGATTAAAACAATATTCAGCTGAAGGAGAAAAATGTTTATAAAATATTTTCAAACTTAGGTGCTTAAGTTTATTTTCACACCAGTAGCTACCACTGGCAAACTTTCCTCTGGGAACAGCATCTGCAGGTCCAATTGACTTAAAGTGACTGGCAGGCAAGCAGCTGCCCGAAAGAGTATGAATTATCAGCCTAATTTTAGGCACAAATTTTAAAATGCTGCCCTCTTTCAGAATGAAATTTCTTCTTATTTACTCAGTATCTTCCATCGTACTGCACACTATACCACAACTTAGATTTCAACATAGACCACAACAAAATGCAAATAAAATGTAATTCTGGTTTAAGGTACTCAGGTGTAATGAGGCACCGTCTCCTTTCTAGACACCTAATCCACAGCACAACTTACAACACACATCTACATGAATGGCCATAAACTCATATGTGTCTCAAATCTACCTAGAGCATCTACATGCCACATACAAACTAAGACATATAATTTCTAAAAAAATTTATTTTTAAAGATAAAACTGTCAGTTGGAAAATATTTGGAAACTGGCTCACAAAACATTACTTCACCTCTTATTATAACCACCATGTAATCTCCCAGATAGGGTGAACAGCCTGTGGAAGTCCATGAGAAAGAAGCATATGATGCCCACATTTGTAAAGATGCAGAAAGAGAGCTAGTATTCAACACGCATCAACCTCATTCTCTTGCAAGGAATTAAATGGACTTGGCTGGTGAACCCAGCTTGGTAGGCAATGTCCAATGTTGACAAAAGGATTCTGAAAATTACTGGGATTGTAATTAAAGCATAGTGGTGGACGGGAGAGGCCACTGCTGCACAGCCTGAATGCATTGCTGGTGCCATTGCACATTTGACGTCCCATTGCTGTGTTCTGGATAAACTTTCATTAATGGCAATCACTGGCAGCCATTTTCAGCTTGGGTTTGTACGTAATGAGGCTTATCTGCCTCTTTCCATTTGTTTACCTCTTTCCACTCCCTCCCTCCCCCCTAACCTCCCTCTCAGAAAACTTTTTGAGCTGTTGGCCAACCCAAATTAGTGATTGCTCTGAGGGAAAAGCAGGCAGAGCGCAGCTGCCACTGTTGGCAGCACCAATTGCCCAGCTAGTTCTGGGTATGCACAGTGCTGATCTAGACAACCTGCACACTGCTCTTTTCAGAATAGCATGCCATAAAAGAAATGGAGAAAGGTCAACCCAGTGCACTGTGAAGCAGAAGGGACAAAGGACACCAAGCCAACATAAAACAGGTTTTATTAGTCCCACTGCTCACAGATTGACTTCTTTCCATGCTGATTCTCCTCTATATGGTCTGTTTGCATTTAGTACATACCCACCAATAGCGTTAGTACAGTCAGAACAGCATAAGGGAAAATGCACTGATGAAAAGACAGATTTGCTTTCCTAGTGACCTACCAGAGGTCACTTGGAACAACTAAAAGACAGAGATGACATGAGAAATAGACTACAGATTTAATAATTCCAGTGTAAGGAAGTAAGCCTCAGTGCAAATCTTTCCTAACTATGCACATACATACAAAATGAGGATAGTTTTCTGCTTACTGTTTTTCCAGCTTTTCGGCAACTCACCAAGTATTATCTTAATGACAAAATTAATAATTTTTCTTAAAACTTACCAGTAGCTAGCAAGTGTCCTGAAGAAGATACACATTTCCTTCCTTTCTCTCTGTTCCCCTCCAGGATCACTTTCTTCAAGCAGGAAGCCCTTTGTACTAGGATTTAGGCTGAGAAACCTACACTCACAATCGTAAGAAAATCAGATAAATAAGAATGGAATTAACCCATGAATTAATTATTTGATAACACTGTCTTACAGATTAATGTCTCCTTTGGATTATCTGATGAATGCTAGTTAACTAACTTTCTTTTGATCCTCCTACTGGAAAATACAGCAAAGATTAGATGGCGGGGGTGGAAAGATAATTATGTTCAAGAAGATGACAGTATCTTATACATACTAGGAAGGTTAAACTCAAGTAGTTCCTTCTCAAGACTCCTACTACCAGGTAGAGATGCCAGTGTGAAGCTGTTTAGCCAGTTTCAAATTGGTGGATGTTCTCATGCTCTTGCGACACCTGGCATATGGTGAATGCACTGAAACTTGTAAAAAAACAGTGATTCATTGTTGATCATTCAGAAAAGAGACAGAAATTCATGGTAACTCTGTACTTCTGGAAAAGTACATCTACACCCCAATTTTTACCTGTTTTATGAGCCAGAAACTACAGGTGAGGTTGAGATCAGGATCTGGATCTTGGTCTAACAAAATTCTGGGGAGTGTCACTTAAATCCATAGTTAATCCACGCAGTATTATGTATGGTGAGCTGTGGATGTTCAAGAAGTGTCCCCACAATCAGGAAGATCTGGCATGATCTGTGTGCCTTTATGACACTTTTAATGGTAGGGTCAGCCTTACACAAGGAGCTTTACCCATGGGCTGAAGTTGATCTCCTCTTTTGCATTGTAATGGCTGCATTCTGATCTCCTGGTTTGACTTAGTTACTTTTCATAAAGCAGTCACATTTCATGTGTACCTATTCCAGCAAAGTATTGATTTGCACAAGGAACATTATAAGTAACTTTTTTTACCAGAAATTTGCCGTTTCACTCTCACACCTATGACCTTCCATAGTTAATTCTCAGGGTCTGAATTCCACACTTTGATTTCTCCAACAGGCTATTCTACCATTAAAAAAAAAAAGGCAAGTTAATTACTTGTCTTGTCTAAAATAACTTCAGTTCTGCTCCAGGCTGAGCAGGAGAGATCTTCAGGTTTAGCAGTCCCTGCCACTTTCTTCCTGTCTCATCAACTGTGCTTAGCATCTTAAGTCAGGAAATCAAGAAGACAAGTCAGCCAAAGTGAGGCTGACCCTATGGAAGAAGACACAAAAGGGGTAGGCACAGCACACAGTGGACTGGTGGATTGAGAAGGAGCTTGATCCAGTCTTTGATGACTTAGAGGACAGTTGTGAGGGAGCATGTGGGTGGGCAGTATGGGGAGACAATTGAGGAAATGTAGGCCCCCTCAGGAAGCTCTCAGGAGAACTGGCCACACAGGATTTGGAGAAGGCTGAGGTTCTGAATGACTTCTTTGCCTCAGTCTTCTGACTGCACCACCCAAGTCTTTGAAGGCAGATGCAGGGACTGTGAGAACGAAGACCTTGGGCCTACTGTAGGAGAGGAAATGGTTCAAGACCATCTTAAAAATCTGAACGTGCACAAGTCCATGGACCTGATGAAATCCATCTGTGGGTCCTGAAGGAGCTGGCAAATGAAGTTGCAAAGCAGCTGGCCATCATATTTGAGAAATCATAACAGTCAGGTGAAGTTCCTGATGACTGGGAAAAGGGAAATATAACCCCCATTTTCAAGAAGGGGAAAATGGATGACCCGGGGAATTACAGACCAGTCAGTCTGACCTCTCTGCCTGGCAAAATCTGGGAGCAGATTCTCCTGGAATGCATGCTAAGGCACATGAAAATCAACAAGGTGCTTGGTGACAGCCAGCATGGCTTCACTAAGGGGAAATCCTGCCTGACCAATTTGGTGGCCTTCTATGATGGGGCTACAGAACTGATGGACAGGGGTAGAGCAGTTGATGTCATCTACCTGGACTTGTGTAAAGCGTTTGACACTGTCCCACACAACATCCTTGTCCCTAAATTGGAGAGACATCAATTTGATGGATGGACCACTCAGTGGATAAAGAACTGGCTGGATGGCCGCACGCAAAGAGTTGTGGTCAATGGCTCAATGTCCGGCTGGAGACCAGTAACAAGTGGTGTCCCTCAGGGATCAGTGTTGGGACCGGTCTTGTTTAACATCTTCGTCACTGACATGGACAGTGGGATTGGGTGCGCCCTCAGCCAGTTTGCCGATGACACCAAGCTGTGTGGTTTGGTTGATACGCTGGAGGGAAGGAATGCCATCCAGAGGGACCTTGACACGCTTGTGAGGTGGGCTGATGCCAACCTCATGAGGTTTAACCATGCCAAGTGCAAGGTCCTACACCTGGGTCAGAGCAATCCCAGGCACAGCTACAGGTTGGGCAGAGAAGAGATTCAGAGCAGCCCTGTGGAAAAAGACTTGGGATCGTTGGTTGATGAGAAAATGAACATGAGCCAGCTTCAGTGTGCACTGGCAACCCAGAAAGTCAGCCGTATCCTGGGCTGCATCAAAAGGAGTGTGACCAGCAGGTTGAAGGAGGTGATCCTGCCCCTCTACTTTGCTCTTGTGAGACCTCACCTGGAGTATTGTGTGCAGTTCTGGTGTCCTCTGCATAAAAAGGACATGGAACTGTTGGAACAAGTCCAGAGGAGGGCCACGAGGATGATCAGGGGACTGGAGCACCTCCTGTATGAAGACAGGCTGAGGAAGTTGGGGCTGTTCAGCCTGGAGAAGAGAAGGCTGCTTGGAGACCTCATAGCAGCCTTCCAGTATCTGAAGGGGGCTATAGGGATGCTGGAGAGGGACTCTTCATTAGGGACTGTAGTGATAGGACAAGGGGTAATGGGTTAAAACTTAAACAGGGGAAGTTTAGATTGGATATAAGGAGGAAATTCTTTCCTGTTAGGGTGGTGAGGCACTGGAATGGGTTGCCCAGGGAGGTTGTGAATGCTCCATCCCTGGCAGTGTTCAAGACCAGGCTGGATGAGGCCTTGGGTGATACGATTTAGCATAACGTGTCCCTGCCCACGGCAGGGGGGGTGGAACTTGATGATCTTAAAGTCCTTTCCAACCCTAACTATTCTATGATTCTATGATTCTAAATGAAAGCATGCGTAGCTGTGTAATGGGAGGGCAAAGTGAAAGGATGAGCTGAAATGCCATTTCTTGGGGCACTGAAGCTTAGAACCTGCCCTGTGTGACACAGACTGGGCCTCCGGGCTTGTGGCTATCCCTCTGTCCTGCATGAGCATAATATTTCTGCACCAAGTTATCAGTGCACGGAAGGATCACAATAGAGCATCAAAGGCTTGCAATGGAGCTGCTGCTGCATTGCCCTTGGGAGTGAGTGCAATAGCACCAGGGACTCTCCTCATCAGATACTACTTCTGCGTCAGGTTAAAAATAACTCCTGGGAGACTGCACATCCACATATAGCAAGTACAAAATGCAGAGCTAATCATTATAAAATCTTGGATCAAGATAGGTAAGCCCGCAGGAATTCTGGGGAAGCTGTGGATTTGATACTGTACTTCACTGGGCCCAGGCTCAGTTCTGCTGTAAATCAGAACTGAGGAAACATCATCAACAGATAAACAACATCATGAATTCTGTTGCTTAGCTTCTCTTTTCATTGCAGTACATTTCATGTGGCACCAAACACACTGAAAAATGCACTCCCAAAAAATTAATAATCTTTAAAATTGTACTCCTCATCCCAGTTCATCAATTACATTAATAACACCATCAATATACCAGAAGACAGAGCTTTCTCTAAGTAAATGAGATCTATGCTTGCTTACAGCAAAATAAAACATATATGATACCTGAGGTATCATACATGGGCAAGCTATAAACTAAATAAGGAGCAAAAGTGCTAGCAACCAGGACTAAATTCATCTTCTACATGCAAAGCACTGCCTGTATTTTTTTTGTATTTCGTTAATAATGCAAAATACTGAGGTTATTGTTTAAACATATCTTCCAAAGAATACAGAACAGTTGGAAAATCAAGAAATAGATGATATGATAAGGAAGAAGTTCACACTTAGATCAGTTAGTCACCCTGCACCTCCTGGTTCTCTGGAAAATGTAAAAAGCAGTCAAGAGTGTTACATGGGGCAAGACGGCAAGGAACACATAAGGCTGGGTTTGTTCAGAAGTGCTTCCTCAAAAGAAACAGCCATAGAGCTATCCAATCCAACCTCACATCTGCTTCCAATTTTATAGTCTCCTGTGCCTTTGATGAAAATCCAATTTTTCCCAAAAGGAATTGCAGCACAGTTGAGTAAAGAAAGGTCTATTGATAAATCTAATGCATCTTTTACAGAGTATGATGCTTCAGGGGTTTGCTGGTGGGGGGAGAATGGGTTTGTCTCATAATATTGTGCTGCATCTCTAAAGCTCCCTTTACATATCACCCCTTCATAACCTAAGAAGTGGTCTGTTTAGAGCAACACTGAACTAGAGGCTTCAAGCTAGGTCAGCTTGTTTCTGTCAGAATCCTTACGCATCTTAGACACTCATCTCTATCTAACCAGACAGTCTGAAATATCTTTTTTTGCATGTTTTTAAGCAACATGAGGTAACACAGATCCAAGAACACTTGACACCAGTGTATCCTTTTGACACCCACTCCAAAGACAGCAGTAAACAAAAAATAACACTTCAATAATAAACAGTGCTTATTTTACTATGTTTCATTCATAGTTGCCCAAGAAAATTCTTTATCCTACAATGAGCAGTGTTCAGATAGTTCTTAGGGTAATGCTAGCCCTACCTACTGGCTAATTCTTGTTCCAGCTACTTATATTATACTCTGGCCCTTTCAAAGTTAAGCGAAATCAACAGGGACAAGACACACTGCTCTTGTTTCAAGGCACACAAAAACTTTGGGGTCTTGTCTATCATCAGCCCACTATTTTCTGCTCTGCAGATTTGTTGTCAGAAACAGTCCCCAGGCTACACAGGACACACAGCTTTTCAGGGGGACATGAAAGGTACTATAAATTGCCATCCGACACAATTGGGCCAGAAATCTGACTAGTATAAGGATGCAAAATTCCACTGGAGTCAGGGGGCCTGTGCTCATTAATGTCAAGGCTTCATTTCACCCATTAAAAAGTGAACTGTCAGCTAAGCTATGCTCTGTGAACTCTTGTGGGATTTCCTGCCTTCTTAAGTTACCCATTTCCAGTTTACCTACAAGCCCAGTCTAAATGCATGAATTTAAAATAAAATGCACTTCTAGAGACACAGAATAGACTGTCCGTATTACATGCTGCTTCCATCATCAAAAACAAAACAGAAAACCAAAACAAACCTAGAAATATTGTAGCTTTAGTGTAAAAGCACACCTATCCTCCTAAGCAGCCTGGGTGGAGGAAAGGCAGAGGACTTTGATGAGACAGGAAGGTCAGGTCAACTATAGGACAAAGGCCTTAGTGCTGATCTTGCTTTCTTTGCAATGTAAATCTACAGGGATTGTACAAATTAACCTGCTATTTACAAGGGATTAAAAAAAAAAAAAAAGTTAAATTAACCAAACAGCCCAATAACTTTTTCCTTTTCTGCAGCCAAGACAAAGCCAGGAACAACGTCATACTAGTGCTCATTTACTTTACATGATTTCTTATTTGAGCACCTGTCTGGGGTTCTGTGGAAGCACTGGGACTGGATAATCCACTGAATGATCTTTAATCAGACAGTAATATTAGGTGCTAATAGTTCTGATAAAGGGGCTGTTTAACCCAACTGCTAACACAAAGGCGTGTCTGCCACAACGACTATTTCAACAATGCATTTGCCACTCATATTAATAAAAATTAATTCCTTGCAGGCCACAGAAAGCACAGAGTAAACCCACATGGAAAATATCTAAGTTCTACCATGACAAATCACATTAAAGAAAAAAAATTAAAATTATCCTAAGGCAATTAAATTTGTCTCAGAAAATATACTCTCTTGGAAATTCTCAAATTGTAAATTCACAGCTAAAAAGGCTGCTAATAGAGTCTTCTGAATGTGTAACTATATATCTGTAGCTCTGTTCTGTGACTTCATACTAGTCATTAAAAGTCTCTGGTAAGTCAAATACAAAGCACTAAGCCTTGCTAAAGGTCCTGAGATGACAGTTATTTACACATCATTTAGATGATTGTCCCAGACTAGAGTGGTTTAAGTGAACCAGCACAGTTAAGTCTCCTAGATAGGTTATCAGGATTTCATCTTTTTCTATCTCTAGAGAGCTTAAATAAATTATGTATATATACATATTTATTAGGCTATAAAGGGGTATATTCTTAACAGCCTGCATACAGCTTTCAGGCATAAAACTTGTAACTGGAAAGCTGAAAGTCTTAGTTAAGATCATACTCACAAATGATGGCTTACTCTTTAGATGTGTTTGGTTTTCAGAAAACTGTTTGGCTTTAAAAAGGTCCTAGTATACTAAAAGAAATACATGAAAAAGACACAGCTAAATTTGGCACTTTGGTACTCAAATTAATCCCCAAGGATATTACGGCTAAGAAGTAAAACACATCCAGGTTAACTCCCCACTTAATTTCCTTCAGGAGTCTGTGAATGGAGAGACAATCAGCTAGAAAAATGTGAAATTATTAACAATGTGAATGAAGGCCTGAAAGCTGTACTCAGATATGACAGCATGGACCCTTCTCCCAAAACCTGTAAGAGCCAGAACATGGGAGGACAAAAGAGTTATGAAAGAGCATACTGCAGAAATCTGTGCAATGCTCAGACAATCTTCTGATGAGAGCAGTGGACATAAGCTTCAAAGACTGATATGTTAAAGTTTTCTAGCCAGAAGGTCAGTGCCAGTTATTTATATCTGTCTTCAGGGTAAAGAAGATTAAAAGCCATCTGGAGATAGTCCTGGGCAACCTACTCTAGGTCACCCTGCTCTAACAGGTGATTTAGACAAAGATGACTATTACAGATCATGTCCAATCTCAATCTTCCAACTGTGAAAATAAAAAAGAACAAAAAAATCCACAAGGTGATATTCCAACTATAATGTCTACTCACCTCACTGGGAAGTTAAGACAAGAAGTACGTATGTAACTTCTGTTGAAGGTAATGCAGCAATATTTCATGAGCTCCATCAACTTTCACCATATTAAAAGTGATTCCAAGTAGTTAGGAATGTGAGAAACCTTTCCTACACAGGATTTTTTTCAAACCTTTAGCATTATCTTAATGCAGTTTTGTTAAGTGAATTATTTATTAACTTGTTAGTCTCATTGATCAGCACAGGAAACTACCACCAAAGCAGTCAACTGGACCTCTGAGTGCAAATAAATAGCAAGCATTTAAAGGGATATGCTTCCTTTGATGCACATAGGAAGCTCCTATTGAACAACAGTGGCAAATATATAAGGAATTATCTTGCAAAAAAATCAAGAAAATAAAGACAACTTTTAACTACACTTGTTCATGTGTTGGTTTTGGCTTTCATTTTTAACCTGATTTGCATTAAAGTTAGCCTGAACTCTGGTTAAGCTTCCTCACAGGATATAATCTGCTCTCTAACTGTCATTACCAAGTTCTTCACTATACAGGCTTCTGTAGTTTCTTTAAAATGCATTTACTCTGGAATCACTAATCAGTTCAAAAAAACTGAGTAACTGTTATAGGACTTAAAAATAACTTTTATTCTCAAATAAAGCATCCATATAGGAGACTGTTTTGTAAAGTAGTTTGTCCCACAACAGCTGCGTCAGTTAGTCTTCCAATTTAGGTATGTCCCAAGATTAGCCATGAAGAATTTTAAACTCTCATTAGCACAATGTCAGGCTTTATTATTTTATGAAGACTTACAAGCCAATCACTTCCTGATTCTTAGTAAATTCATAGCCCAGCTGTCAGTGGACTGCAAATACAGAATTATGTTAGGCAGGCCACTGATTGAGCTATTTTATTCTTAAGGAGGCAAATTAATTTCATCCTGGATTTTTTTTTTCTTCCCCCAAGAAAAATGCATTGAAGGCACTGGCACTGAGAATTAACAGAATCTTTGTATTTGTCAATAAGGTCATGCAAGCGTTGATGCCTTCTGGAAGCAAACTTCTGTTAGAAATGCTGTTGTCATTCATTAAAAAGAAACAGTATCTTAGAAGCCGAAAAAGCATCCCAATTTTCCAAAGCATTTTTGTTCAAAACTAATAAAATCACCTTGCGCTTGATACCAACAGAATGCTGGTAAATCATGACTATAACGATGTGACCATAATTATCTATTGTTAATTCAGATAGAAACATTTCAAATAGCAAAGCACAAACAACTGCTACTCACCATGGCAGAAAGTCTTAGACGTGGGGTATTTCATTCACAATTATTTCAATTATGGCATTTCAACTGGTGGCCATTTTCTTTGTCGCTTTATCCTTAGACTTGATCAACATTCCAGATCATGTCTGTATTCTTTATGAAGCCCACCAACAGCTAGATTTAAGATGTAAAATAAAAATCAACTTAATTTAATGTGACAAGAGTGGCTTTGTGCTAGGCTTTGTGCCCAGTCATTTATTTACTCCCTGTGTATAAAACTTTTGTCTCTTAGAACAAGAAACTCTTCTTGTCTGCATCTTTCTCTGGTATCTACCTCCTCATTTTCCAGAATGGTTGTTATTGTATGTACTGCCATCCTCACATAGGCATTGGCATCAGCAAAACTTATCACAGATGAACTTCTTCCAGAAAAATACCCTTTCCACTAACCCCCTCAAAGAAGGGGTGCAATGTTGTTCAGGTCAATGAAGATGCAGGCATGAAAAAGAAAGGAACTTGGCCTAAGAGAACATTCATATACTTGGGATCACCAATGAACTGCCCTTCACTTTAGACTAACACAAGCCATTTTTCCTTCCTCTGTGGCACAGAGCTGTCTGCTGTATAAGACCATCTGGAGAATTTTACTGAACTTTGGATAGTGATGAAACTTAGGCCCCGACCTTCCCTGTTGCCTTCCTGTAACACATTATGATTATGCTATTGATTCTAAGCTTTCTAAAGAGTTCTCTGGAATGTCTTTTGGCCATTGTATAGGAAGTCTCTACAGTGGAAATCTGCGTGGCAGATTTTCCCTGTACCCTCATGGAATAAACATCATATTTATGCCCAGCAACAGTTTGCAGATCCTAAATTGAAGGACCCTGACTTTTTTTCAGTCATCTCACTTGTCTCCGCCAGTGTAAATATCTTCTGGGGATATCAACCACACCTCTTTGTTTTAATGGCATATTTCCACCTTGTGATGGAGGTGGATGAACTCTTCTTGGACAACTGGAGGTTACCTTGTTTTGAAAGAATCACATTCGCTTTTATATTACAAAGAAATGCCAATGTTTTTATAGCAGTGAATCCTCATTTTGATCTTTCAGGGATTATTGACCTGTTAGAAATTTCTAGATGTATTGACAGTAAAGAAAGAAAGCAGAGACCATAATGTGGGAAGATGGGAACACACTGGAGAATTCCTGTAGTCTGTTTGAACTGGTTAGCAAAAAGGCCTGCTAACACCGCTCATCAAAAAGGAGATGCTTTGTAACATGAGCCTCTGCACCTTTCCCAGAACCACGACTTGACTTCCAAACATAAGCTATTAAGGAAAAAAAAAAAAAAGCAGCTTATTTGTAAACCTGATCAAAAGTGATAGACATTTTTCTTATTAACATTCTCTATATGCTTGTGTATACCGTAACAGGGAGTTACACCCCACAAATAGATTAGAAGCAGGGAAAAAGGTATACATCTTTTCAGAAGCAGATATAATGAGAAGAGGAAGAAGGAAAGTCTTCTGGAATATACCTGGATGTTATTTTATTTATTAAGAGTAGTTTGGTTAGAATTGCTGCATGACGCATTCTTTTACCCTCCAATTCTCAACTTTTACTCATCAAAAACATACAGAGAGGTCTAGTGGATTAGCAATTCTTGTCCTGCAAAGCCATCTTCACTGGTCAGCTTATGGTCCTGTTTCTGGATACTGTAACCATAAGCACTGATATAAATTTTCTAACAGAATGATTTCCCACCAAAACGCTCAAGCCAAAGACTAAGGTCTTTAAAGTAAGTGCCTTTACTTGTGAGGGTGGTGAGGCACTGGAAAAGGTTGCTCAGTGCTGGAAGATGCTGCCCAAGGAAGTGAAAGCATATTCTTTATTTCATGTTGTGAAAGGGAACATTTCCATCCTGCCAATTCAACTGTTTTGGGTTCCTGGGCTTTTATCCCTCTGGCTAAGGGAGTCCCAAAGGCTCAGCAGGAGACAAATGCAAGGTGCTCATGGCCAAGCAGGATGTCATTGAGTTAACAACTCTCAGGTGACAAATGAATGCCTTAAGTTACCCTTTCCTGTGCTTTTTCTTTGAAAGGGTTGACCATAGGGATGGGGATGCCTCCTTTTCCAGGAGGCCTCAATCGAGTTAAATCAACATATTTGTAGAATTAACATACAAAACCTAGGACAACATAAAGTGTTCCCACACTTCAGTAGATGATTCTGCTTTCTGTAGTCAAAAAATCAGACTCCTACAGTACAAATGATAGAGGTGGTGGACTCATGATCTAAGCACGCCCATGTGCCTGGGAACTAGCAGTGAAATAGCAAAGAAAGAAAACCACTTAACATCTCAGAGGTAATCAAGCTGTAGTTTACAGTTTACTGCATGCTTTGGCTATGATTTTAGTAATTTTGATCCACCTGCCCCCTTTGATTTCTAAGATATGACTTTCATAGCTCCCTATATAAATGTATGTGCAAATGTGTGCACCTGGTATTACAAACACACTGAAGTTGCATTGAAAGCTGTCAGAGTGAGTGTTGTGCAAGAGTGTATTATGAAAGCCATTGTTTTCTTTTTCACATCCTAGGAAAGAAAAATATACATACATAAATAGGTAAGCATTGTGACATCTTAGCACAATTCACCTGCTCTCTATCATTCTTTCATTAGTTGTTTCAATGAAAGGTAAACAAGCATATCCACAATAGATCTTGAAAAAAAAAAAGTGTAATATAAATATTTAACATAAAAATTGTATCTGTGGTAATTCAGGGTTTTGATTTTGATTCTGAAGGTCTTAGTCATTTCATGCTGCAGGATATTCCTGCCAAAGTGTGTATCCTAACTGTGGCAGTAATTCTGAATTTTTTACTAATTTGTTAAAGAAAATAAGTCTATTTCTAGCCTAATTTTGTATCCCTACTGATGACAGTAGATATTGACTCAAAAATACACAATAAAAACTACAGCATCACTTATTTTATCAGAATAAAAATACCAATCAAATGTGTGGATAGTTTACACATAAATGTAGTTATCCCCAAATCATGATGATTTTTATTTTAGCATTTTTCTATCTGAGATCATGGCTTTCTTTGACAGACTCTGCAAGATCACTGGTTTTGCCCTGCCACTCCCTTTTCCTTTACTGTGTAACTACCTTATACAAAGTGATACTTGTATGCCAGCAGGTAATATATTTATGGAGTAGTCACCCAGACCTGACAAGTACTGTAGTGTATTTCTTTTGAAAATCGCCCAAGGTGGGGTTATTTCATCTGCTTTGACAAATTGTATATGTATTACCCATATTATGCTGTCACATCTACCTTAGGTTCATCAGTATCTTATTACTGATGCTGTTGTTTTCAAATCTAAATACAGTATGGGGAAAGCAAGCAAGCAAACACACAAACAAACCTATCTTAGCAATAATGTTAAAAATAAAGCCTGAAACAATGACACTGTGCAATAACCTTGAGTGCTTTTTAATTTATTTTTTTTTTAATAGCTGTGTTCTAATTCTTCAGAGAGCACAGAGGGGAGCTTTGAAAAGGTGCTAATAGACCATGAATTTGCAGCAGTGTAGTTCACAGCTAAACACAATCTCACTTCAAGCTCGGGCAGGAAAAAAAAAAATGAGGGCACCACAGAACTGAATTAAAAATCATGCAAACAGTCCCACCAACAACCAGGGCACTAGCAGCTTATAAGATCAGCTTCATTTGGCAGGATGCCCACCACGACATGACCTAAGAGGGCCAGGGCAGGAGGGTATCTTCTGGCTTACAAAAAGGGTATGGGGCAGGCTGCCAGGGGGAAGGATGGAAGCAAAAGAAACATCGTGTAAGCCTATGTTGAATTAACTTGCTTTACAGAACACCGACAGGAAACTTTTAGGTCTTTTAAATGTGTTTGAAAAGTTCTTCTATATTTTAGATGGTAGACAAATATTCTCTGGGTCAGCTGCACTGCAGGGAGAGATTACTATCACAAAGCCCCTCCTCCTGCCTGAGGGTACTGTCCCCTCAAATCTCCCAGAGATGTTCACGTGCTATTCTCCAAATGAGACCGTGGTTCCATGACAGTCTAATCCGATCTAAGTTGGGGCTGCTGCAGTCCTTCCATCCCCAGCTGCTGCCTTGTCCTATGCCAGCAAGAATGCTTGTCTGGTCCCACACTGAACTGGCTCAGAAAAGACAGAACCAACTTGAAAAAATCGTAACACTTCCCTGCCAGTTCAGCTTCCTGTGGAGTCAAACAAGCACCAGCGCTGGTGCAAGAGATGGGGTGGGGATATACGTGATGCAAAGCCAGCCTGTAACAGCTCTGGTTTGGATCAGCTTAAACCATTTCGGAACTGCACTCAAGGATGGGCTAGCCAACGCCTGCTATTTAAACTGCTTGTGCTGATCCAGCTCCTTTGACTGGCTCAGGTTTGGGAGTGGTCCTAAAAGGAGCTTCCTCATCACATCAGAAGGGGTGGGCAGCCTCCCCTTGCTATCAGTAGCCCTTTCCTCATGCAGGGTTTTGTGGAAACAGCATTGTATGATCTATGAAGCCTACAGAGAGTTCTTTGTGGCAAGACAGACATCAGTTGTTGAGATGGGGGAAGCTCCCTCTCAGTTGCAAAGCCAACCTCCCAGGTGTCCCACAACAGCCAGGGCACTCTGGTGAACTACCAGGATCCAAGCCCAATGTGACAGATGATTTGAATGTAAAGAGATGCCAAGGAAAGATGGAAAAGTAAGGGACACATCAAAGTCTATCTGGACTAGAAACTGAAATAATTTCTCACCCTTTCTGAACTTTACCAGGTTTTTAGTCAGATCCTGAGTACTAAGGCAGTGAGCCCAGTGGTTTGCTACTTGCTGACTTGTTTGCATACATCACCATATCATATGTATGCATACTAGCACAGAGATGGGGAGGAACACAAAATATCAAACAGCAAACATGTAGTTAAAACAGTTTTACTACCTCCAAAGGTCACCTGCTTATTCCCAGTAGTAGCTGTGGAACAGTTTAGAGCCAAAACTCTGGAGGGCAAAATCAAGGATACCCAAATTAGCCACTAGAGAAGGAGATATACTTTGTATCTTTACTTGAAAGGCAGGTTTAATTGCCAGCTCTTCCAGTCTTCCCTCATCACTTTCGTT